AGATTTGCCTAAAATTACTTGTCCAAGAAATAATTCTCCCTCCCCCTTAAGCTAATACTTTGATAAGCTCTGTACAGTGATCCTGATTTGGAGCGTGACCTTTGAAAATGCTCTCCAGCTTGATTAAAGATGTATTAAATTTGTTTAAATAAACCTCGTTGTAATGGCACATCATTTGTAAGAAGCTATTAGGGGGCTGGAAACTGTGCTTCTGTATTTGCATGAAAATGTGCCCTGCTCGAATTGAGGATCTCTCCTGAATTAACTGCAAAGGGAAAGTGACACTTTCATAATTTTTTCTGACAAAAAAAAAAGACTTAAGAAACTTTATGCAAAGCTCTATGAGAGAGGAGGAGGCAACTGAATGTCAATAACGGAGCCATGGAAATAGTCAGTCCTTCCATCCAAACCATGGATCCTTTTTTTTTGTTTGTTTGTTTTGGCATCAAGAATCTTTGTAAAATATAATCTATGATATTTATCAGCTGATTAGTCAATCTACAAAATGGTTTACAGCTCTTCAGAGGTGGTTTATGACACTGTGTCAATGAGCAAATGAATTGTCTGATAATTATCAAACCCCTTCTGTTATGAATTGTTATTTATTTATTTATTTTTGGTAAGGAATGGTATCATTTGTCTCAAAAATCTTCTTTCCTGGTTTTAATTTCTGTACAGTCTCTATAGGGGTAGCTTCTCTGGGTTTGGAGGGAAAGGCTAACCACCCTAGTGCCCCCACCCACCACTCCCAAATGAAGCATAGAGTTGCCAGATGCACTGTAATTCCTTCCAATGGCTCCCAAATGATCTGCCGCACTGATGAAAAAAGGGTTTCTCCTTTAAATCAAATATTAAATTAAAACCTTTCCCAACTCCCTGTCAGAGGCAGAGATCTGGGATACCTGCCAATACTCAAGAGCTTCTGACCCTCTCTTTCTATTCACTACTTCTCTCTCTCTCCCCAGGTAAAAAGGTACACGTTATAACCTATATTCCCTGCTCCTTTCCATCAACTTCATTTGTAAACATGCCCAATTTCATCTTCCCACTTTAAGAGGTGGCCAACTGTCTAGTCAAGTCAGTCTCTAGACACAGAGCAATATTCGGTCAGTGCTTCAGAACGCAGGCTCTGATGCCAGTTTCTTCCTGAATTTCTCTGGTTGAGAGCTTCTTCAAGTATATAGCTCAATATACAAAGTGTGGCTATAAAATCATGATGGATTTTCTTTAAACAGACACAGGAGAATTTATTTCAATGAGTATTCAAATCAATTCAACAAACATTTACTAAACGTCTGTTACAGTCAAAGCAATATTCTAGGTGCTACAGATACAAAGGCAAAAGTAAATAATAGTCACTGTCCTCAATGGATTGACAGTCAACTGGACATATAGAAGATGTACACAAATAAATACATACAATATAATTTGAAGGACCATTAACAATGATGGGATATTAGGACAGACTTCCCCGTGTAGGAAGCCTCTGAGATCAACTTTTAAGGTCTACCTCGTTAAAATCTATTTTGTAAATGAAAAACTGAGGTCCACAGAGTAGAAGGAATTTGCCCAAAGTCAGACAATCATTGTGAAAGCTGTGTTATTCCCTTAAAAAAGAGTCACTTTGAGAGGCCATACACATGAGGATGCTGTTCTGAAAATATCCTGGGAACTCCTCTTCAGGAATTGCTTTCAGTGCCAGAGGCAGATGCTTTTGAATATACTCAATGGATCCCTTGAGCAGAGGTCTGATTTTCAGAAAGAGCCAAAAGTTATTTGGAGGCATTTGATAGATTAGGTGGGTGCTTAAGCTTGGGGGAATACTTTTTTTTGGTAATTAAAACAAAAAATAAAATAAAGTAGCTAGTCTGATGACCATATTATTTATAAAATGCTTTTGAAAGCAAGCCCTAAGTGGTATTCCATAATAGTTTTGAATAATAACAAAATTGTTGCCATAAGTTCATCATTTCCCAAGGTGATTACTTGCAAAGTCCACTTTCATTCATTTGGATATATTTGTTCTGGAATTTTTTTTAAGGTTCTTGGCCTAGAAGATTCACTACTCGATTCACCTACTTTCTGAAATGATTAATGGTTGGCACTTTCCCTTCTTTCTTTCCATTCCACTTTAACTATGGCTTACCAACACTCCCAAATCCATGAACTTAGAGTCTTAGATAATATTTCCTCATCCAAAAATTTCCCCCTTTTTTGTATATGACATAAAACCGACTATAAAATACCTTTACATTGATTGTGTGTACTCTTTTACTCCTCAGTTATAGGATTCATATTCTCTTTTATATCTCAGGTTGAAACACTGCCCAAGGAGCCCCTTTGTTACTGAAAAAAGAGCTCCCTTTTCCCCTAGACGGACATCTGCTTTTTAAACCATAAGCAAAGGATAAGATAGCACTTTCTGAAATTTTGCGTGGGGGGCCCAGAATTTAAGCTTCTGCCACTGCCTTCTGCTTTTTCCCATCATTTCCTTTCGGTTTTTAATTTACCATTCCCAGCTGAGATACTTGAGCAGATAGAAACAACCCAGCTCCAGGCTAATTGGTTCATCATGCACTTTATGATAATTTTCATTCTGGATTTTGATTAGGTCAGTATGGGGACTGCTTTGGTCAGAGCTTGTAATGATCTGCCTATTAACTCTGAAATAGGGTCTTTGACTGTACTCGTCTTATTAGATATCTCAGCTGCCTTTAACTCTGCTAACCATGAAATATTACTGGACTGTCTAATGGTCTATGTGGACTCTAATATTTTCCATATTAGTTTTAGTTTTGTTTGATTCATTTTGTTTTCTTCATGTGAAAGCACATCTACTCCTAGTGAAATTTTAAATACTGTTGACTTGCTGATTTATCTGGCTGACTGTCTGGCTGACAGACTGACAGACACTTATTCTTTGCCTTTATGTTCTCCTTTAGTACCATTTTATTCAATATCTCTCAATTCCTTCTTGGAGTGTCATCGTGAAGAATATTAGAATATTAATATTAAATATTAAAATTAATATTAATTATTTGAAGTTTAGGCATAGGCTAATTATGAAGTTAGGAATTGAAGCTATTCTTCAGATAGTCCAAAAACCAAATAAACATTTTTTTCCTTCAATTTTCTGGATATTTGAGTCATTAATTTTTGAAGACAAAACCTTACTAGAAGAGTGTTGTCAACTCTCCATTTCACTACATATACTTCCAAATACTCAAATGGGTCTGTAATCACATTGATTTGACCAATCTCAACCTATCCATGCCCACCTATCTGGTTCAATTCTTATCCATATCATCCCATGGATTTGACTCAGAGAGTCCACCCAGCATCCTATAGTTCTCCCTCTTCCTCTTCCTCTCCTCTCTGGGATTTACTAGCTAGATTTCTTTCTCAAAGACCAAGCCTTAAACCCAATTCACTCTGGAGCTCTTAGATTGTACAACAATAGGCATTACCTTACCCAAAGTGAGAACCTGAATAGATCTTAGCTTAAAAGAGCCAGAGTCGCCCATTGTATCCTGGGCCATCTCCTGTCATCCTGATGAATATCTGGCCACTGGACCCAGATGACTCTAGAGGAGAAAGTGAGGCTGGTGACCTTGCACAGCCCCTCCCTCACTCAAATCAAAGCCAATTGCAAGTCATGTCATCACTTCCCTGATGTCATGGTCTTCTTTGAGAAAGAAAGACAAACACACACACACACACACACACACACACACACACACACACAAAACTACATTGTAAAGGTCCTAGTGGAATACTGTGGCTGTCTACCTGTATGATCTCTTGGTCTCACCACATGGTCAGCCTATTGTTACTTCCTGTCATACACTTATTTGATGACATCTTTTCCTCTTGTTCTTATTCACATCTCACACCTACTAAATCTCTCTCCACTGCCTTTCATGGATAATCAGGTTTAGTTCTTTAGAGGCTGTTGCATGTCAGCTGTCACACGAAATAATATTTTGTGTTGCCTTTGAGAATATGATAAAAACCAACTTTGCCAAATGTTTTATTTGCTTCTCCCTGAGGAGTAGCTGTGAGCCACCCTTCTATGTAGCTACAACTTACTTCTCTCTTCTTCTTTCTTTTACAGTAGGAATATCTATATAGTTTTGTTTCAGCTCCTCTAGCAAAATATCTACATGTTGGTTACTGGACAAGGTCTCATATCTAGAATACCAATAGTCAACTTAGATTGTATTAACAATCTAAAGCTATAACTCTTACAACCCTCAGCAACCTTTTCTGTCACTCTGACACCATCACTGCAGTGGGAAGGGGCCATAAAGTTCTGAGGCCTAATTTGTATTTTTTTTTCATGGATTTCCATGGTTAAAGAATTAATCACATACAGCCAGCCTACTGATGCTGTGCTTTTTTTTTCTTTTTTATAGCTAGTTAAGTTAGTTCTCAGAAAACAGACTCAATCTATTTGGGGTTGTGGGAAAGGGGACCTATCTGGAGTCTTTCCAGAATGTGAGAACCTGGCAGTGCTTGCTCTCCATTACTATAGTCTTTGAGAACCTAAGGTCACCTTCATCTACTGATGAGTCATAGAAGCAAGACTTCTACACTGATATGTTTTCTGAAATTTTGATGGGTTCCAGTTAGGTCTCAGTTGTACTGAGTACTCAGACATCAGTATGGAGAGGTGAATGCTCCCAAATCACATTTTGATGACTCAGAAACCCTGGCAACTTATTAGTGGTTTTGCTATCATTGTGAACTTTAAGCTTTCCACAGCTAAATATTGCTTAAACTTCCACCCTTTGTTTTTCTGTCTTAAGAACTCTGCCTGGAAAACCTGTTCACTTTCTAAAACTGAAATAAAGCTTTTAAATCAGGCTTTTATTATAATCAGATCTGACTAATGGAATAGCTATTTTTCCTTATCTTTCTATTGTTTATAGTTTAGATGGGTGTGGATACATTTTACTCATGTTTAAACTGGGCTAACCAAATCTGCATCTTTTCCACAGGTCAAGTGATATGAACAACTGAAGTGATGAATTCAGTCCAATTCAACCAACATTTATTAAACACCTTCTATGTGCAAAAATTTTGATAGTTGTTACAGATTTGGACAAAAAAGAAATACTTCTTACATTTTGGGGGAGGAAAGGAGTTGCAACATGTAAGTACAGTGGCACGAGCAATGGATTTGGAGTTATATGACTTGGGTTCAAACTCTACCTCTTATAGTCACTACCTATGGCAACCTGAGCAAATCATTGAAACTCCCCAGGCTTAAGTTTCCTTATCTACAAAATCAATGTAAAATGGACTAGATGGCTTCTGAAATCCCTTCCAGCTTGAGAGCTGTGACTATATGTATGTGTATATACATGTATATACACACACACATACATATATATATGAGTAAATACAAATACAAAACATATAATAAGTAAATACAAATATTATTGTCGTTGTTGTTGTTGTTATTTTATTGTTGCCTGGGTAGAAGGAGATGAGCCCTTAAATCTGACTCAAAGGGTCATCTAGCTAGTTCTAAAAAAAAAAAAACTAAATGTGAAACACCTTCTTATCAAATATAGAAAAAAGGAAGGAAGGAAGGAAGGAAGGAAGGAAGGAAGGAAGGAAGGAAGGAAGGAAGGAAGGAAGGAAGGAAGAAGGAAAGGAGGAGAAGGAAGGAAAGAAAGATGCGAGGAAGAAAAGAAGCAAGCAAGAAGAAAGGAAAAGATACCACCGGGTGACTAACCTTTTGGTAATGAGCCTCCGTTAACTTAGGTTGGTCATTGAAGAGCCAGCATGTATACAGTCTGGCACTGGCCTTTCCATCTTGGTAGTATTTAGCAGAGTTTACCATCCACTGGCATTAGCTTCTGAACCCAGGATCACCTCCAGAACCCAATGAGGCACCAAAGAGTGAATTTAGAGAATAATGAAACTGTAAAAAAAAAATCACTTCCAGTTGGCAATATTTGTAAAAAAATAATAACCAAAATTGCCCCTGTCCATTTTATGTCTTTCCACTGAATCCCAGCCTGTATCTTAGCATCAATTGATGACTCCTTAGGTCTTTTCACATGCAGTTCCCATGTTTCAAAGTCTAGCTTTTGCAGAGAAAGTGAGATTAAAGATTTCCTAGCTACACATAAGTGTCACAAATAAAGATTTAATTACATTTAATAAGTCTTTATTGTGTTTCAATTAACACAAATTGAGTCTTAAATCATATTTATTGAGGTTTATCAACTCTGTAATGAGTCATATTTCTGTAGTTGTTTTGAAATATCAAGAATAGGTAAAACATACTTAACAACCATAATTAACCCTTTACAGAAGCTGTATCATTTATAGCCTAAGGAATTTTGACCAGTCATCATATTTACCTTTTAATTGGACACAGAATGCTTTTTCCCCCACTCCCATAATCATTTCAAGCATCTCAGAGTATGGGTCTAGTGATGAAATGTAGTTTGTCATCTCAGGACTAGCCTAAGTTCAGAGAGGCTGATTACCAGGTTCACTATAGGATGACATTTCTTGGCTACAGTGATTCTAAAAAAACTGTGTACTTAGTTATTCATAAGTTAAAGTTTTCATTAAGGGAGCTAATACTCTCACTAACAAAAATCCCAAGTCTTCCAATAATGGAAGGATTTTTATAATAATGTACTCTTGCTGTCTAATGGTTTAATTTAGGCCAGATGAGTCATTGACCATAGTTTGAATTTAGGTGTTCTATGTCTTTCTACACTTTGGGGCAAAGGGCTTTCATGTTGTATGGAGAGAGAGTAGAAAGAGGAATCTGAGGACCTGAGTTCCAATAATGATTCTGCCTCTTACTATTAGATGGTCTCTATGTTTCCTTCCTACTCTAAAATTTTTATTAAAATTACTTCCTAATGCAGCCTCTTGGACATCCATTCTCATAGCTGTTCTTTTTTCTAGATTATATCAAGTCAACTACAATTCAGTATGTACTCATTAAACACTTACTATGTGCCAGACATTGTGCTGAGCCCTGGGAATATAAGGACAAGCAGAAAGAAAAGCCATTCATTGAGGAGCTTACATTCTAATATGGGAAGACAATTCATAAATGGAAAATGAAAAGTGGAGGAAGTTGGGTAGATGAAGGTACTCAGCTTGAAGACATGGTAGAGAAAGTCTAGAATAGTTAGGAGTATAGTCTGGAGAGGAATGAAGACATGGCTGGCCTGGGCCTCCTCTTTAAAATAAAGATTCTAGGAGGAACAAGCCAATCAGAGGAAGAGGCCACAGGTACAGAAGATACTTCCAATGAGTGAAGTTCAGAGGTCAGTGAGCTTGCAGGTGAAGAACTTCTCCAGGCATCGTAGGGATAGTCCCACAGAGTACAGCCTGTAGCAGGTGTGGGGAACCTTCAACCTCAAGGCCACATGTGGCCTTCTAGGTCCTTGGGTGCAGCCTTTTGGCCGAAGTCCAAGTTTTACAGAACAAATCCTTTTATTAAGGGGATTTGTTCTGTGAAGTTTGGATTCAGTCAAAGGCTGAAGGTACCCCACCCCTGCTAGAGGAATGAACATCCCTGGTATATGGCAAATTGGGATATTCTTCCTTGGTCTGGCAGTTTGAGGGGTCCCAAATTATTGGTATGGGACAGTGACCATGGCAGCCAGTGTAAAGACTCCTAAAGTCCCCTCAAGCTCTTAAACTACAATTCTATCCTAGGGCTTTTTTGATCAGTGCTTTCTAAGAACATACATTTGATATTTTCTTCAGAGTATTATGAATTTCTAAAATAGCTTTATTCTTCAGATATTTATATCATTTCAATTAACATTGATTAAATATCTACTATGTATGAATAAAAATCATTTATTTGTTTAATAAATGTATTAAGTGATTATTTCATGTCAAAAACTGATCTGGGGTATGCAAATCAAAGTTAAGACAGTCCCTCACCTCAAGGATCTTATATTTGTACAGCAGGAGACAATGAATAGAGAAGAATGGTGGCCAGGGAGGGATACCTTGGTTTGTAATTTACAAGAATAGACAGCTGGAAATCATGCTAGAATCTGTAAATACATAAAGACATAAACACCCGCCCCTCCAAAAAAAGTCACTAAATAGATTTTAAAAAATATCTAGGAGGTGGGATTCGAAAGTGTTGAATTGTTAAAAAAAAAAAAAACTGCCTCTCCAGCAGATTATTGTGGTACCTGAAATTAACACCATTAACAGCATTTTTGGGGACTGACATGGTTTATAAGAAAACTTGTTAAAATGAACATTTTTACCTGAGAAGGGTAACAAATTAATCTATTAGTATCATTAATATTTTTGCATGCATTAATTAATTAGATTAGTTAGTCAAGCAGATAGAACAGCCCTGAGGGATAGGGAGATGGAACAAATAAATCTTGATGGAGTGGATGGGACTGGGCTAAAATATAGAAAAGGCAAGATGGGGTATAGGGTGGAGCTTTACTGTAGTGGAAGCAGAAAAAATAGCTAGGGTCCAGAATTGAAACACTAAAAGGAAAAAGTCAATAAAAAGGAAGATGTTAGTGTGTTTGGAGGGGGCAGGGGATTCAAAAACACACTTCATTGACTTGCTAAGTTTGCTTAGGGCTGACCTGCCTTCCCTACCACAATCTCTCACATAACTATGGCCATTTGTCAGCTATCACAGCAAATCAAGAAAAGTCATAAAAATTAAAAACAGGTATCGCACACATATAGACTCTGGACTAAGTCCTAAACACACAGTTAGGCTAGTAGGTCAAGTCTCTCGAGTTCAGCTACCTCCATCTTCCCATCAAGGTTCTACAGAGCAAACCTGAGGGGTTGGAGTTCTCTGATGACATAGCTCACAAGTCCTCATCCATGACATTTCTTCTCTAACACTGATCACCAATCAGTGTTTCCCCAATTTCATCTAACTAGGGATTATGACTTTAATATAATTTGGCCAACTGCTATCTCTTGACTAATATTGATAGCTAACTAATATCAATTAGCTTTTACAAAGGGATATTTACTGAGAAGACATAGCATGACTCAAACTACAGAAACCTGAGAAAATTGCAGTCTCCTTCCCTTTACCATCTCAGACTGTACTCCAGACTTCCTCTAACATTTATCTACTCTTCATCCTGAAGATTCACATCAGCCCTGGGATTCACATAGTGGAAACATCTCATGCTTCTGCCTGATTGGATGGCTTCTCCTAGAATCCCCACTTAAAAGCAGACCCAGATGACGAAATTCCATTCCTCTTCAGGAGGCACTCTCTGCTTTATCTAACAATCCCCCTTCAGTACGAATCACCTTTCCCCCTTTCAGAGTTCTTTTAAGTGTTATCTTTCCCATTAGATAATGGGAATTATATAATTAGATTAAAATGTAAGCTCCAGGAGGGCAAGAATTGTATCTTTCTACTTGTTTTCATAGCACTTAGCACAGTGAATGGTAAGTGCTTATTAAGTGCTTGATGATTGATTTATTGACTGACGACTGGACGTGGAGAGAGTGGTCTCAAAATTGAAAATAGTTGCTACAAAACATTCCTCCCCCAAGTTCACTCTCTTGTATGCAGAATAACCACTAAAGGAACCATTCCTAGCTCTCAGCAGCTGGGTATTCACTGCTGGCCTAAGTCAAACAAGGTAGCTCTTTAGGGATGGGTCCTTCCCAGGATTGGCTGATGTGGCTAATGAAAGACTGCTTTCCACTCCTATCCCTGGACCTTGAGGTGGCTCTTTCACCATTTGAAGTTCACAATGTCAGTCACAAACTGGTCCATTCTATCTCTGATGCTCATTCATCAAAGATCATTAAAGAATAAACACAATAGAAAGAACAAAACAAAAGCACCATTTATTCATGGCCACATGGCGACCAAGTCCCAGTGGGGTTTATTCACCCAGAAGTTTCTAGCATTACTTCTGCTTTGCTCAAAAGCCACCAGGCATTGAGAGACAGAATTTCTCCACTGGAGTCTTTGTATGCATACTCAATTCTAGTTTAGCAGCTAATTAAAAGATTATTATCATTCAGTAAACCAACAGAATAACATCACAGAATACTCACAATTGAAGTTAGCGCACAGGGCCCCTTCTTTTACCACCACGAATTCTGGAAACAGTGTCAGAAGCTTCTGCGTAGATGTGCAGCAAGGAAGAGAGCATAGCCCATGGTCCAAGGACTGGATGCCAATGAACCAGTCTATCCTGTTACATGGAGGAATTTTTAATACTTAGTTCTATTTTGTTTCAATGTGTGATTTTTATTCCCAGCAGATTTAACTACCTAATTATGTTTTGGTTAAGCTTATATTAAAATTGGCTTTTATTCTCTTAGCATACCTCAAACTGATTATAAGAAGAGGCAACATATACCAAGTAAATACCAGAGTATTTGCTCAGTGACCAGAGTAAGCCTTTCTGGAATTTAACTATATGGATAATCTATGTGTACAAAGTTGAAAGTTGATTCTAACATTTTAATTATATATGCATTCAAGAAATGTACTTATGAAAAAGAACTACATTTTATGTAGTTAATACATTGAGAACTATGGCAGACCACAAAATGTCAAATGAATTTATAATGAAAAATTCAGTCACTCATTTTCAAATATCTACCATTTGACATCATGTAATCAAATATTTGCCCATTTCACTGAATTTTTTAATTTTTTTTCATCTAGATATTTTGGAACCGTATCATTTTTTTTCTTCTCTAGGTACCCACTTACAAGCCTTCTATTTTTCTTTCTCTTTTAATGAAAATCTATTGAAGTTGTCTATACCTACCCCTGCCCCCACTTTCTCACCAATCATTCTTCCTAATTCCTTGTAATTGCTTTCTCCATAAAACTATATCAAAATAACACTCTTGATGTTCACTAAAGATTTCTTTTTTGGGGGGGGCAGGGGGTAGAGGAGGCAAATTAATAACATATCCCTTCTCATTTTCCTTGAACTACATAACATTTGATATTGTCTCCTTCTTAAAGTTTTCTTCTCCCTTGGAACTATACTGATTTCCCTCTACTCTCTGATGATTTTTGGATCCATATTTTGACAGATTTTCTTCTTGGCTCCTAACTTCAGGGTCTCCCTAAGTACTGGTCTTTAGTCACCTGTTGTCTACACTTTTTCCCTTAGTGAACTGATTTCTCTTTAACTTCACAATTCACCTATATAATAATGATGCTTACATCTTTGTATCTACTCTGTTCTTTTATCCAGGCTTGAATCCAAAAATTTTCATTTTCCTGGAATATATTTCTATATGAACAATCTTTTATTGCTTTCTTTGTATTTTTATTGCTTTTATTGTAGCTGAGATTAAATCCATAATCTTTTCCCCAAAATTGACTCTCTTTCCCAATCTCTTCCTATTAATGGCATTGTTATTAATTTAATTCTTAGTACTTTTCATCTCTTTCATTTTCCACATCTAATCAGAGATCAAATCTTGTTAAATTAGCCTTTTAAATGTTTTTATACTAGTCTTTTCTGTCCTATTATATCATAGGAGACCAGGATCCCATCTCATAGTTTATAACTTACAATGGCCTACTAATTATTCACCCCAGGCTACCGTCTGCACTATTCTGTCTTTCACAATTGTGTTAGTTTTCCTAAATCATATATTTTCATGTTATCATCAGACCCTTTCTCAAGCATCAGGTCACTACCCATTGCCTACAGAATAAAGTCTAAGATCCTTGGCCCAGAATTCAAGGCTGTCAATAACCTGCTCCCCCTCTAACTCTATAACTTGAAATTCTGCTATAACCTACCATGACTTCTCAGTTGTACCTATACAAGTCTACTCACTATCCCACAAATATTTTACATGATTTCTTCACTCCAAATTTTTACTTAAGCTAGTTCTCTTTCTTCTCCTTCTGTACCTAGGTTGCCCTTTTTTTCTCCTGACTACCTAAATCCTACTTATACTTCAGGGCCAAGCTAATCCAATCACCAATTAGAAACCATTCCACTATCTTCCAACCCACAGAGATTCCTCCCTTGTGATTTCCTTATGGATTTAGCATATGAACTTTTGATATTTAATTACATATTGCACTTTTGTATCACTTTTGTAACTTCAGTTCCTGGAGGGCATGAACAGTATCTTACACTTATTTTGAATCCTATTTCAGAGTATATCTCAGTGATGTACTTACAGGAAGCTTTTAACAAATCATTTTTCAATGAATGAATTTTAATTACAATGTCTAATTACTTGAGCTTTGGTGTATGTATTATAAATATATAAATACATATATATGCACACATATATAAAACACGTATGTAACTCTTTTATATGTGTAGAGATGATAGATAGATAGATAGATAGATAGATAGATAGATAGATAGATAGATAGATAGATAGATAGATAGATGTAATGAATTATTGTGGTGTCTATTTTTCTTTCTGACTAATCTGGACAAGTTTCCATTCTGAACTCCCTGAATCTGTCATATGTGTGGGATCATTCCTGTTCTCCTTTAGGGACACCTTCTTCCTGTTCCTCATTTGTGTGTTTTTGTGGTGGACACCTGGAGAAAGATCTGTTCGTGTCCATGTGGCTTGGTACTGTGGATCACACCGCCTCCTCATGAGTCGGGCATCAGCTCCCTGCTTAGAAAATTACCTTATGTCCTCTAATCCAAAGCTACCAAGTGTATTTTCCTTACTAGGATTTGAAGAACAAACTCTATCCTTGTCCACGTATGAAGAATTTAACTACAAAAATGCAAGACTGCAGAACATTAAACAAAAATAAGCAAATATATTTTAAACCCATTACTTATCAAGAGTTATTACACTGCCTCTTTACAAACTATAGATTTTGACTGGAAAATATTCCTAAGAAATAATTTCTAAAAAATTTTATCCAGGTGAATATGAATCATTGATGAAGTAATATACAAGATATTTTTCTCTCACCCTCTCTGGGCTAATCTTAGAACTCACATAGCTATTGTCTGCAATCTGCATTCTACTTATATAAAATATCCTTTCTTGTACCCCTAAAATATATTTGCTTTCAACTGGAGTTGACTTTATAGATGGGTGAAATGGATTTGGAAGTCAAAGAAAGCACCTGCTACTTCAAATTATCTGACCCAGTCACCTGACCTTGAAATTACTTCTTTACTCCTTTGGATTAAAAACATCAATTTCCATGAAAGTTCAGATGTTTCCTAAAAGGGTTAATACCCCACTTTAATTTATCAGTTAACTATGACTAATAGTTTTCATACAATGTTTTTGTTTTTCACAGAAATAGCAGAGTTTGGTGTATAGAGAGCCAAACTTAAAGCCAAGAAAACCTAGATTCAGTCCTTCCTCTGATACACATATTGTCTTAGCAATCTTGATCAAGTTACTTGACCTCTCAATGTTCTAGGCAACTTTCTAAGACTATAAAATACAGAGACAGTCCCACTCTTCATTAATAGAGAGACTTTCCTCATCTTAGAATTTCCTATAGCAATGACGTTTCAGGCCCAGTCTATTTATATCCCTTGCTTCATAATAGTTCTGTGAGATAGGTAGCACACATTTTAAAATAACCATATTATATATGAGAAAATTGAGGTCCAAAGAATTGAAGTGACCTCTCCAAGATCACATAGCTCATAGCAAGTCTAATCCTTAAAGCAAGGTAGCCTGAGTCAAAATGGATATTTTGAATGGATATGTACTGGAATATATTCATTCTCCTACATCTTATAACCTATAGTACAATCATTTAGCAAGACCTAAAGGGCTAAGATATAGGACAGGTTGTTGTTATTACTGTTATTATTTTATGGAGAAGGAGGTTAATGTCCCTGACAGCAAGTTTATGTGACATTTTGTATTGCCATAGGTTAGCATGAGGGCATTGGATGCTCTACGGGAGGTCTTAGGGTTGAGGATACTACCAAAAAAAAAAGAGTCCTGTTGGATGACTAAAGTCAAATTGGTTCACCGACTTTGCAGTTTTCCCTAGGTCTATTCTAGGTCTAGATCTGCTCAAGCCCCATTCCCTGCCCCTACTCTATGCTGATTATTATATAAAAAACAAAGCAAAACAAAACAAACAAACAAAAAAAAAAAACCCTGTCAGTTTATAGCTGGAGCATGAGTCAATCAATCAATCAATCAATCAATACTAGAAACTCGTCCTAAACTTCCTCCATTCTATGTGTCCCTAGTAATTTGAATATCCCAGAACAGCTGACAGGAGATGGAAGACAATCAAGAAGAAGGAGAAGTCCTCCCCTCGACTTTGGTATCAGGATATATGAAGACTATGGTGATGACTCAAGCATATACTACGCAAGTACTATGAGAGAGGGGCACAAATAATATTGCTTCATCATCAACCTGAATGGGAACTACTCTGAGAACTACTTGAGTGATACAAGAAAGGATTCCCATGATATCCCTATGAATTTTGAAGTTGTAGAGTCCATTCTTAAGTTGAAAGACTTAAGAATAAAAAGAGGTATGTTTCGGTGGGTTGGTTTTTTTTTTTGTTTGTTTGTTGTGTTTTGTTTTGTTTCTTTGGTAGTTAGTTGTTTTTTGTTTGGTTTTGAGCTATTCATTTTTTTTTCCCCGAGATTTTTCCCATATAGACCAATAGATAGCATTGGTCCCCTGGGATCAATGAATCTTTATAGCGTTGGGATATTTCTTGACTTTTTCTTCTTCATTTTCAAATTTTTATTTTTCTCTACCCTTGAAGAAAGTGGAGTGGAAAATAGGGAGTGGTTACAGAAGGGAGGTCAGAGCTTATATGTGTAATGGAACAATTGAACAACATCAGTGGTATGTAAGATTTGACTAATGATCAGTGGAAGGATCACTCAACTGGTAGTGCTTAACTGGGAGTCACAAAACTTGAGTTGAAATACTAGCTCAGCCACTTGGTCTGTGCCACCTTGCTCAAGTCAATTAATCTCTGTAGGCCTCAGTTTCCTCATCTGTAAAATGAGGGATTTAACTAGATGATCTCTAATGTCCCTTCCAGCTTGAAACTTATGATTCTATGACCCTACCTTTCCAAAAGTAATTTACTATTGCCACTTTAGCAACATTTCTTCTCTAATTCCCTGTGTTTTTATGGATGGGAATGTGGTTATTTTTTGAAGTGCACTAACTCTTTTCATATAACTTGCTATTATGCAAGAATTTAGCTTCTAGTTCATTTCCATTTTTATAATAATTTCTGCTTTAAAATGATTTCTAAAAATACTTTGTTATGTTTATTGTGTTGACTGTACTGATTTTTATCATGAGCTGCCTTGGGCAATGTACGACAAGGGCCCATATAAAGGCTATTTTATTGTAATCTAAGTAATGTTTTCAGATGGGCATTGGTTAATTATGGGCTATATTTGCCACATGCCTAACACTCTTTAGTTATTTCCATTCATGTGACCAATAGTCAGTAGGCTCCAGCTCCATTTAACCACAAGTGATTGGCACCATGATTCCTGTAAATCCTGATGAGTGGTGCTGCAGCCAGTCAGTGGAAGTCAGTAGCATGGCTTAAATTGTTAAATTCTTTAAAAAGTTTTTTTTATTATTGTTTTTCCAGATCTATGATTCTTTCCAGTAGGGGAATTCCTAGTTTAGAAGGTCTCTTTACAAACACAGATCAGCAAATCCACTTGGTCTTCAAGAGGTATGATGAGGGGAATAGAGAAATTGTGATTCACCCAGGGACACAGTCAGGATACCTCAGAGTTGGGGTTGATACCCAACTCTTCCTGATTCCAAGGTGTATTAGGGACCATGCATGATTCAGGCTTCTCTCAGGTTCAGTACTGGGGTGAAATAATACCTCTGTAGGTCTTTTAGCAGTTAATAGAAGAAGGAACCTTATCTGTAACAGAGAAAGGTCAATACAATACAGAGAATACAAGATTGATTCAGTTATGTGTAGCTTCTCTTTTCTGCATCATCTAATATGGTCTGTGGTCTGCTGGTCAGAAGTCTGAGGAAGGATCAAGTAATTGGTGATTCTCTGTGCTCTAGCTTTTTCCTTTCTTCCTTCCTTCCTTCCTTCCTTCCTTCCTTCCTTCCATTAGTCCTTCCTTCCTTCCTTCCTTCCTTCCTTCCTTCCATTATTCCTTCCTTCCTTCCCTCCCTCCCTCTTTTCTTTCTTTCTTTCTTTCTTTCTTTCTTTCTTTCTTTCTTTCTTTCTTTCTTTCTTTCTTTCTTTCTTTCTTTCTTTCTTTCTTTCTTTCTTTCTTTCTTTCTTCCTTTTTACAACACTGGCTCAGTAAAGCATTTACCTTGGCTTAAACAGACCCATGAGCAATGATTCAGACTTTTTCCTTTTGGTGAGAAGTTCTGGGGCCATGTTTTTAGGGGGAGATTTTTCTGATCATAATGATATTGGGGATGAAAAAAACATGTTGGGAGATGGCAATTCGAATTTAATTAGATTCAATAAACATTTAATAAGCATATAATTTGAACAAAGCTTTGTGCTAGGCATTTTCATAAAAAATGAAAAATATCACAATCCATTACCTCTAAAAGGGTTGTATGAAACTAGGAGAGACCAGAAAGGTACACAAATAAGTGTGATACAAAATAGAAAATGCCTAAACAAAGAAGAGATATGGACAAAACAACCCAGATAAACTCAAAGAAGATAGTGGCCATTTTTCCCTGGAAGGGATCAGAGAAATTTTCATGGAGGAAGTGGTATCCTGTTTGGGTCTCAAAGGAAGAGGCTGATCCAACTGATGGAGAAGAAGGGATATTGTAGGCAGCAGGGCTAGTCTAGGAATCTATATAGAGGCAAAATATTTACAGAGCAATAAGAGAACCACTAGTTGTTTAGATTTCCTGGAACAGAATGCATGTAGGGTAGTAGTGTGGAAAAAAAAAAGATGGAAAGGTAAGTTAGCTTGTCAGGCTGACAAAAACTGGACATAAGGGTTGCCTACCTATTGGAAAATAACTAAAGAAATTATGGTATATAAATGGGATAGCATATTTTAATTGCACTGTAAGAAATAACAAAATGGACAGTTTCAGAGGTAACTAGAAAGACCTCTATGAACTAATGTAGAGTGAAGTAAGCAGAACAAGAACTATTTATATTATTATATACAACAATATTATAAAAGTAAATAATTCTGAATAACTTTAGAACTGATCAATGCAATGATAAACCATGAGTCCAGAGGCCTGAACATGAAACATGTCATCCACCACCTGTCAGAGGTGATAGATTTAAAATGCAGAATGAATCATGAATTTTCAGTCATGGCCAATGTGGAAATTTGTTTTGCTTATGATGAAGGTTTTATTTACTTTTAAAAAGTGTGTAATGTGGGACAAATGAGGTAGATAACAAATCCTTGAAAAAATAAACTAATAAATCAATTTCCATGCCAGGCTGAGAAGTCTGTCCTCTTTCCTATAATTGATGAGGAGCCCCTGAAGCCTATTGAGGAAGGAAATTACATGGTACTACCTGCATTAGGAAGGTTATTTGTTATTGGAAAGGTGACAGATTGGAAGTAGAGGGACAAAATAGGAGGTTATTATAAAGTTCTAGTGGTAGTCTGAGTGGAGATAAAAGGAATAGTGTTAGAAACAATGTGAAGGTAGAATCAAAAGTACTTGACAGCTGATGGGACTGAAAGGTGAAAAAGATGGATGAGTAAAAGGTAACTCTGAGGTTCGAACTCTGGCAGAGTGGTGAAATGATAGTACCATCAACAAAAAATTGGGAAGTTGAGAGGCTGACAGGATGTAGGGAGAAAGATGATGAGTTCTATTTTACATATGTTGAGTGTGAGATATGAGTGGATAAGTTTAGCTAGAAATTGGATACATGGGACTTGAAATCAAGGGACAGCTTGGGGCTTGTTATAGAAGTTTGGGAGTAATCTATATAAAATATTAATTAAAATCATTGGAATGGATGAGAATATCAAGGAAGAGTGTGAAGAAAATAAATGGCCAAAGAGAAAGATTTAGGAGAAAAAGAATGAGGAAATAGTAAAGTAGACTACAGTAGACTCCTCCAACCTGATTAAGGAATGGGGGAAAAGACAATGAGAATGACATTGATCGACCAATTAAATGATTAGAATAATTAAACAATTGGATAAGTAACATGAGAATACCGAGGATGGGAATATGTTTTAGTTAATAGGGTACCTAGCACTTCATGCGGATATTTAAGTCATAAGATCATAGACATAGAGAAAAAAGTAACCTTAGATTAAAGATCATTTTGTCTAACACCCTCATTTTACAAATGACTAACTGAGGCCTCAGGAGGTTAAATGAATTGCCCAAGGTTTCACTGTAAGTAAGAATTAGAGATGAGATTTTTGGAAGATCCTCTAACTCCAGAGACAATTCTATTTCTACTGCATCACCTGTGTTTCTACATGCAGTGGTGGAAATATATATTCCTTATGGCTGAAGGGAGAAAAAGAAAGAGAAAGGAGAGAGAGACAGAGAGAGGAGGGAGAGAGGTGGGGAGAGACAGAGAAATGGGGGAGAGAGAGACAGGAAGAGAGAGTGGGAAAAGGGAAGAGAGAGACGGGGGGAGAGAGAGACAGAAAGACAGACAGACAGACAGATGGAGGGGGAAGAGACAGAGAGAGAGGAGGGGGAAAAACAGACGGGAGAGACAGACAAAGACAGACAGACAGACAGAGAAGCGGGGAGAGAGAGAGACAGGGAAACAGAGACAGAGATAGACACACAGAGAGAGACAAAGACAGAGAGATAGAGAGAGAGACACACAGAGAGAACCAGAAAGAAACACACAGAGAGAGACAGAGACACAGAGAGAGAGACAGAAAGGGGGACACAGAGAGAGAGACAGAGAGGGGGACACAGAGAGAGACAGAGAGGGGGACACGGAGAGAGACAGAGACAGTCTGTCTGCTAAGTAATCAAAAGCAAGCTAATTACATGCCCACTTAAGGTGAGAACTTCAGGCCTAATTCTTTCTGTCTCTGTCTCTCTCTCTCTCTGTCTCTCTCTGTTTTTCTGTCCTCCCTCTGTCTCTCTCTCTCTCTCTCTGTGTCCCTCTCTGTGACTCTTTCTCTGTGTCTCTCTCTGTGTGTTTCTCTTTGTTTTTTTCTGTGTGTTTCTCTGTCTTTCTCTCTGTCTTTGTCTCTTTCTTAAGAAGGCAGAACTTTTTTTTTCCCTTTAATGAGCCAAATAGACCTTCCTGATTGGTTTGTCCAGTATTTATTGACTGGTGAATAATGAGTGAAGGATGAATGCAAATGCTACCTCCCACTATGAAAATTTATATGAGATCAACATTTGGAATAACGACTTCTCTCAGTGAGCTATTCCCACGGATACTTTAGAAAGGAGGATGGGTGTATCGATAAAGAATATTGCATTTATATTACAACTGAAGCAGAAAAAAAAACAACATTGAGAATATGTGTAAATTAAATATAACTTTGTGACTGTCTGGTTTCTGGGA